AATATAATAATAAACGTGAATCCACTGTGTTGAAATTTTTAACTCCCCATAACGCTAAATAAATGGGAGCCCTGAACTTGTTTCTCTGCAACGAGATGGTCCCATCTGGGGGTAATAGGAGACAATGACACCCAAAGTGTGTTGCTTATGTTCAGTCTACTCCGTTGTTTTGTTTGCTTCACACAGATAGGATGTCGGAAATGGCAACAGGGTTTTCAGTGCTGTGGTGGCGATCTCAGGGTATTCTGTCATGACTTTAATCCTGAACACCGACAGAGTTGTTGTCTCGAACATACTTTTAAGGCCGCCGTCATTTGCGATCTCCAGCAGTTGATCTTCTTCTTGCACAGACCTGCTGGATTCACCTGGTTTGTTGACAAATGGGTTGCGGATCCATTCCTTGGCAGTTCGTGGGTCCTTTGTGGTTGGGAAGTAGCGCTCGAACTCTTTTAAAAGCAAAGACATGTGATCGTGCACCAGCTGGGAGAATGAAGACTCAGGCTCAGTGTCACCCCAAATCCCCGCTAATGTTTGAAACATGTCCAAAATGCCTCTGTTGACGCGTCGTCCCCACAAATCCAGTTTGGCTTTAAATGCAGCTACTTTATCTGCCAACTTGAAGACAGTTGTCATTTTCCCCTGAAGTGACAGATTGAGTTCATTGAGCAGGCTGAATATGTCGCACAAGTAAGCCAGTTTTGGCGCTCAAGTGACCGAGATGTAACCGAGAGAATACGGTCATTTTTCAAAATAAAAGATCGTTCAGACTCAGATAATAAATAAAACGGAAATAATTAATGATTTCTTGTGCGGCCCGGTACCAATTGATCCACGGACCGGTACCGGTCCGCGGCCCGGGGGTTGGGGACCACTGGTTTAAGGGTTATCTCCTGTCTGTGGTCCCCTTTCTTCTTCTGTGGTTTTTGGCATTTTAAATGCTGCATCGTGCTGCCCTCTACCGGATAAAATATGAACCACAACAATACTGCCTGTGCAATAAGCTGTGCGTCGTTATGCACGACGATTTTCCCCCTTAATTTAATTGAACAGTTATAATGTACAATCGTCAGAGAAAGAGGAACACTTGTACAATACCATAAGACATAGTTCAGTTTTGCTGTGCACTATTGGATGTACTGACAACTATCAATAAATGACATTAATATTAAATAATTTGTTAAAACCTGGTGATTTTCAGGCAAGTTCTGCTGCGTTCCAACAGATGAATTATCTCATAACTAAAAGATCTTTTTCTCCAAATCATGAGATCAGGATCTCGCAGTTATGAGATGGTAAGTCATAATTATGAGATAAGATCCTCCAAGTTTTTTTTTCTTGGTGAATGCAATGCACTTCTATAAAGTAATGTGTGGCCCAGGACTTTTACTTGTAAAAAAGTATTTTTACATGAATATTTTTACTTAAGTAAATGATCGGAATACTTCTTCCATTGCTACTGAATGGTTCAACATACACATACAGTAATGCTACCCTGTGGTACTACATTAACAGTGACCCTGTCAAAACTTTATCATTTTTCCATTTCAACCTGTATATTTCAAATATCAGTTCTGGTAATGTTTATTACCCATGTTCTTTATGCAAATATCAAAACATCCTTTTATCATATTAATGTAAAACAAACACATTTATCAAAATTGTAAAAATCTGGTTAAAATTTATTATAAGTCAAAATTATAGACATTCTTACACATATGGCGAGCACTACTTATCATACTTGTTTTATGTTACAAACCACCTATGCTGTTATTTCTGCTGGGTATAATGTACAATATATTAATAGCACCCCAGGACCCCCACCCCACTCCACATACACAATACTACAGATAAAAGATCACAACATTTTACATTAAGTAACAACTGACTTGTGTGTCACGTTCAATACTGTAGCCCTCTTTCATGAAAGCTGAGAAGATTTTCTCAAGTGACAGATGCTCCCCATTGACTTAAGGGATAAAGTGCAGTATAGGAAGGTTAACACAACAAGAACTGTGAAAAGAGAATTATAAATAAATATAACAACCTATAATAGAACAATGCTGGGTAATGCTTTACTTTACAGGTCCATTATTTCTGAATATTTTTCTAACAGAAGATTCCTTAGAATAGACATTTATATGGAAAATGAATTTTTTTTTTTTTAGGGAGCAGCATTGACATTTGGGCAGGGACAATGGCTGAATGAAATTGTTAGGAAAATTAATTAACGTGTAAACAAATTAAAGACAACAATCCTGTCTTCTCTATAAGTATACTGAATGTCATTTCATGGTGTATACTCAGGCATTTTGTGTTTTAAAACTCTTTGAATTCTGTTTCAGGCAGTGTAGTGCCAGAATTGTGTGATCTGTCACTGAAAACTGATGCGCTTTATCAATATGGCGACTAAACAAATGGTCAGATGAAGACAGTTTTTGTTGTGTTTGTGTGTAAATGTGAGAAGAAGTCAAGATGACAGAAGAAAGATCCAAGAATTCAAAATGTGGGAAGGAGAGAACGAGCAAGAACAATGAAAAGGTGCTGTGGGGTGTTTCTGCCTCGTCTTGTGTATTGTGCTATTTCATTATCACGCGAGTTCATCCAGATTTGGCTGGCTGGGACTTAAAGCATCTGCTTCTATTTTGAGCTGGTAAGAATCAAAAGATTTAGATCTTCCTTGAGTTACGTTACCACCATTCACAATGTGTTTCAATTTTTGCACCTTTTCGTTTCCTTCATGCAATCCAACAAGGGTCTACCAACACACTTAAATCAAGTGTCGACTTATTAGATCATACTTGACGTTGTTTTCCATGTTTTGAACACACAACGTATTAAAACCTGCTTAGAATCAAAGAGTAGTGTGAAACTGGAGCACTGGTTAAGACTAGGACATGGCAGTCCAAGATCTTTTCTCCCAGGTTCAGCCGTCCATCCACACTAAGCCTGTGTTTTCTCAATCACAGTTTGTTTTTTGTTTTTTAAACTCAAAACATACAGAAAAACACTTTTGAAAAATTATGATGTAGAGGGGCTGTGTATGTAATCATCATAATAAAATCATGCTTGGATTATCAATTCCTCAAATGAAAAGAGTTTCAAATGTGATTCATTGCCAGGCAATGCATACTGCCCTCCTTTTTAACCAAAGTCCTTTGTTCAAGAGAAGTAATCCACTCAATTCTATTTCCTCATGTTATGTCTTCAGTTTCATATCATGCACATTCATGCGTGCTCAACAGCCAAGGGAACTAGCATACATGAAAAACAATGTTTAAAATACTATTGATAAACTTGGCACAGAGACTTAGTGACATGTACTGTATATACTGCCTGGCCTGGCCTGGCCTGTGTCTACATGTAAACGCTCCAGAATTTGGTAGTGTCAACTGCTCCGGCCAGCTGTATTTAGCAGCAACGTGAACATGAACAATTCCTTTCTGAAAGAAAGCAACGACTAACACCATGCACTGTGGTAACTTTTAAATCCGCAGCAGTTTCAGTAGGGCAGTGGACGACATCACTTCAAACTGCTTGTGGAAATCTATGATTGTCAGCGTGAGGACTGAAATATCGACCTGGCATTTAGTTATTTCCTCTCAACAACAGGAACACTCACTTGGTAAAACAGAAGGTAAAATGAAGGTCTCACGAATCACTAACAGAACGAGTTACATTTAGAAATTACAGCATGTGTGCATACCTTTTCAGCTCCTTAATGTCACAGGGGCATGTAAACCTAAAGACCTATGCTTCAAGTTTTCAAGTCTGAAGCTAAAGTATAGTTGCTGGTGGGAATTCGCACCAGCTGTTAGGGACTCTACACTGTACGTGCTGTATACTGTATGCATTATGTTAGTAAAACCTCTGGAATATATTGGCAGTGATCTCATACCAAGAAATGAAGACAATCTGCACATTTGTATATGCTAGCAATAAAAATAAAGCTACAATCTGGAGGTAAGAGGCCCTTCTGCTCCCATATAATGTCCAGCAGCAGCTTTAGGTTGCCAGAGAAAGAAGAAACACATTTTGCCTTCTCACTACTGTAAATGGCTCCAACATCTCACCAGTTATTTAATGTGTACTTCAAATGCTAGTTTTAAGGATGCGAAAGGATTACGTGGAGAAAAAAAAAAAAAATGCAACAGCCACAATGTGAGAGCTGTGATTGGCTGTCTGGTCACCATGGCAGTCAAACCAGCAAAATGGTGAAGTGTGGCTGCTAGAAAATGAGTAAGCAACATGTCCACAGATGCAGGAATGAATCTGTATATTGGTCAGTACAGACAGATCTTGGGGCTTTGTGCTGCTACAGCTGGTATAGTTCATTTGACCATCTTCTATGTAGTCACTTCCTCCAAGGGCCAAAAGCACGGTGAACCTCTGGAGACCCCTCATCACTCTGTCCTGCTCTCATCATCCTTTTCCTGTTTTTTCTTTTCCTATACTGGCTCAGGATTTGG